AACTGCTCCCTGCAGAACCTGCTTGAAACCCCCTCATTTATTGCACTGCCCCTCCCTTGACTGCTCCGACTCCCACTTCTGCTGTCCGCACTCCCTGCTGCTCCAGCCCTCTCGGGCCTCCTCCCTGCCCTGTGGCTCCCTTGGCTGCCCAGAAGCTCCATCTCCCAGCTACGTTGATGCCAATGGGAGCAGTGTGAGGCCAGGGCCAGGCAAGCACCTCTGGGGATCCCACCACTCTGGAGCCAGGCCCTGCCCTAGCTGTGGGCATGAGGCTCTGAGGGGGTGCCTGGGCAGGACCTACGGGGGTTCTCCATTCACCTGTGACCCACCCCCTCTGCCCCAAGCATCTGGGGCCATTCTCCCTGGGGCGGTTGGTCCTCGTATAGCCCCCCTCCGGCAGGGCCTCAGGGCAGTGAGCAGCGTTTTCCCAGTCACACCGTGGGGTGGGGAGACCTGTTTAGTTGCCCTCAGGGGCATGCACAAGGAGGGGGAAAGCAGGGGCACGCCCCCCCGTAATCATCGGGGCACAGAACTCTGGCCTGGGGCTGTGGAGGGAGGGAAGATCGAGCTCCTGTTGGGGAGGGGGGAAAGCGAGCTCCACCCGGGGCCGGTGGAGGAGGGCAGCGAGCTCCACCCGGGGCTGGTGGGGAGGGGGAAGTGCAAGCTCCTGGGGAGGCACAAAAGGGGTCAAATTTAAATTCCTGCACATGCCCATGTTTGTCCTGACTCCCAAATGGATGGAGCTCCAAGTGCCGCCACCCTACGGCATGAAGGGCTAGGGTTAGGCGTGGTGGGGCCACTCTCCTAGGTGAGGCAGCATCTGGGGGCCCTTCCAGCCGAGGAGCCCACCCGTGGGGCGGAGCATGGCCCAATCAGGTGTGTGTGGGGGGAGCGGGTGCCAATGGGGTTTGTACACATGGCTCTGAAGCTGATGTACAGACCCGTACAGCAGCTCTATGTGCACGCCCCCCCCCAGGGCCTGGCACAGCACAGCACACCCAGTCCTGACCCCCACTTCCCCCCAGGCTTGGGGCCTGGCTGAACTGGGACAGGGCCAGACAGGGCAGTGAGCCAGAGGCCATTAAAGATGCATCAATTGGACCAACGTGCTTCTGCTTTGATGGGCCAAACTCCTGTGAGCCCCTCCCCGGCTGGGGGGGGGCAATGAAGGGGTGGGAGAGACCCACTGGCCTGCAATGCACAGACCCAGGGCTGTACAAATACCCCCACCCCCAGCCCTCCTTCGAGGGCTGGGCCTGGCTCACGGGCTGGGGGCCGACGGTGGTGTGTGTGTGTGTGTGTGTGTGGTGGGGGGGGTGACGGTGGCTGGGCTTGTCCAAGGTCAGCCCAGAAAATACGCCCCTGTATGAAACGAGCCCCAGTGAAGGAGCCATGACGTTAGGACAGGCCAGACTGCAGTCAGAAGAGCCGCTGAGGAGCGTGTGCACCAGCACCGTGGCACTGAGCAGAGAGGCTGCGAACCGAGACCTTTGGGGGTCACCCAGCCCAGTGGGGGGGGGCTGTCCTGTGCCCAGGGGGGCCCTCGCGGTACGTTGCCATGGCTTAGGCTCTCACACCGGCGCCCAGCTCACAAGCAGCTAGAATAGTCTGGAAAAGCAAACTCAAGTTCTGAAGCCGCAAGGCTCTGTGAGGGGCCGGCCCTTGTCCTGCTGCGGCTGATGGGGTTCCTGTGCCATCAAGGGCGCCCGCGGGCCGGGGCCGGCTTCCCACTTGGAGCCTCTGGATGAAAATCACCTCAGTTTCAAGCCCCCATTTAAAAGGCTGCCCCCACCCCGGCCGCATGGTGCCTCAGGGATATTTGGGGGGACACAGTGTTTTCACCCTAATGGCCCATCCTGTGTCTTTCCTGGGCTAGCCAGTGCTCAGTGCTTGGCACGAGTCCCATGGGGGTGGGGAGGCAGCCCTTGACTGCCCACCACCCTGGGGGAGGTGCAGGGGGCAAGGTGGCCGAATGGTGCAAGCCCCAGGGATGAGCCCAGCTGCACACGCACAGATACACTCGCAGCCCCACCCCCAGATCTGCAGCGCGTAGTGACCAGCATGGTCAGAACAGGCCTCGTGTTCAGGAGGGACCCTACGCCAGGAGTTCTCAACCTTTTCCTCTCGGAGGCCCCGCAACACGCTATAAAATCTCCACGGCCCAGCTGTGCCCCAGCGACTGGTTTTCTGCATAGAAAAGCCAGGGCCGGCATTAGGGGGTAAAGCAGGGCAATTGGCCAAGGCCCCACGCCATGGGGGAACTGCGAAGCGAAGTTGCTCAGGCTTTGGCTTCAGCTCCGGATGGCAGGGCTCAAGGCCCCGGCCTCCAGCGAGTCTAATGCTGGCCCTGCTTGGCGGACCTCCTGAAACCTGCTCACGGCCTCCCAGAAGGTCCCAGCCCTGACTGAGAACCATTGCTGTATGCCACATATTGCCAGACACATTCCCGCTGTGTGGGTCAAATGCATGTTCGCTTGTTTCAGATCCACCCCATCTTCCCCCCAGGGCATCTGGGCCCCGATTGTCACAGCTCCCCCCTCCCCCCGAGGTGTCTGGGCCCCGATTGTCACAGCCCCACCCCCCTCAGCTGTCTGGGTGCCGATCGTCACAGGCGGAGGGGAGCAGTGGGCAGTGGATGGGGTGGGGATGGGGAGCAGTGGGCAGTGGATGGAGCAGGGAGCAGTGGACGGGGCAGGGGGCTTGCTGCACACTCAGGCAGCGTTGCTGGGTCAGCTCCCTGCAGCCCCTGCGTTGGGGGGTTTGTCACCAGAAGAGCTGGAGCTGACCCTGACTGCGTGTAACGCCATCAGGACCAGCCCGTCCCACTGGCTCCTGGCTCTGACTGGGGAACGTTGGTGCCCGCAGAGCTTGTCATCACAGGAGCAGCTGCAGAGATCCCAGCCACCAAACCAACAGCCTCCACAAGTCCCACGGTGCCCAAAGCAAAGCCCGTAGTGTCTGGGTGGGGCCAGTAAAATCAGCTGTTCCTGGGCCAAGCGGGGTAGGGGCTTCCGAAGAAGGCCCATGTGCCAAGCTGCCAGGAGAGGCACATGCAGAATTGGGGAGCGGACGACCTGAGCTGTGTCTGTCCTCGCACAGCGCCTGCGTCCCATGCAGCTGCCTGCGGCTCCGAGCCCTGCGATGCAAACCCTGGGCCGGCAGCCGGCTCACCTCTGGGCTCAGGAGTGACGCCTGGACAGCAAAGCATACCTCGGGTACACTGGCACTCCCAGAATGGGGCCTCACTCCCTGGCCCTCTGCCTGCCCCCACCTGCATCGTGAGGGGTGGGTGGCGGGAGGAGGGAAAGAGCCATGCCCAGGTTCCCTAGGGTTGACCCGTGTCCCCCAGTGAGACCCTTGTTCCACAGCAACAGTGTCCAGCCGTGTTATGGAGCCCACGTGGCAGCAGGGGGAACACTCTAATTTAAGGTTTCGCCTGCCAGTCATCCATTTTAACGTTTTTAGAAGGTCTCTTTCTATTAGTCTATAATATATCACTGACCTATTGTTGTATGTAAAGTAAATAAGGTTTTTAAAATGTTTAAGAAGCTTCATTTAAAATGAAATTAAAATGCAGAGTCCCCGGGACCGGTGGCCAGGACCCGGGCAGTGTGAATCACTGAAAAGCATCCGAAGAAGTGGGCTGTAGTCCACGAAAGCTTATGCTCTAATAAATTTGTTAGTCTCTAAGGTGCCACAAGTACTCCTGTTCTTCTTTTTGAAAATCAGCTGTTGCCTACCCCTGCAGTAGATGCTCCATCACTGGCAAGGTTGGATGTTTTCCTAAAACCTCTGCCCTAGGAATTGTTTGCGGGGAGGTTCTCCGGCCTGTGCGCTACAGGGGGCCAGACTGGATGACCACAATGCTTCCTTCTGACCTTGATATGTATGAATCTAGAACCTATTAAATGCACTGTGGCTCCCCCCCAAAATCCATGACTCCAGAGCTGGGGCATCAAACATTGTGAGACTGGCCATAAAACCCTGAGAACTGGCAGCACCGCTCTCGCCATAGGGTCACCCTCCCCCTGGCCCCTCCCTTACCCCCATCCACCCCAACCCACCACCCAGGGGCGCCCTAGCCCCAGATCCCCGCCTAGCAGGGCTGCTCCTGCAGCTCTGGGCTCGATTGCTCAGGCCTGCCCATCCACAGAGATCCCCTGCGCTGCTCAGGCCTGCGCAGTGCAGCCAAACCCACCGCGCGCGGCGAGCTGTCGGCCTACCCTGCCGCACAGGCGGAAAGGCCCCGCCTCTCCGACCTGACTGACGGGGGTCTCACCCAATGGCCGTCGGATTCTTCCCACCTGGACGGACCTCCAACCAGTAGGCGGAGAGGGCGGGCGTGTCGGACCGAGGTGGGAACCGGCAGGGGGCGGGGCAGGGCCGGGATGAGGCGTGTGCGGGGCTGCGAAGAGGGAAGGGGCCGGGCTCGGAGCCATGAAGTGAGTGAGGGGCGCGGGGGGGTGGAGGGGGAGGGA